TGCCTTGAAGTGGTTTGCACCTATTCAGAAAAGCCGAATTACAGATAATGGTAAGTATCCAAAGCCCTACCTTCTCATTCTTTTCTCAGGGCCAGAAAATTATACAAAGCAGTTTATTAGCCAAAAACATTAGATTTGTAATATTTTTCAGACTCACCCGTCATGCCTCGTCTACCAAGATACCAATCGCTTGACTCTCTTCCTTTTGTTTCTGATCAAAGACCCGATCAGAAGCCTAAACTTCTGATTGCATATGCTCATGGTGTCGTACAGTTGATGAGAAATGAGAACGATGTTTGTAGGTTTTATTTTCATCTTATCGAAAGAAACTGTCTCGGGCAAATGAGCGGAAGTTCCGCGAGGCTTTCGAAAAACAAACCTCCTGAGCCTTTTGTTAGAGTGCTGCGGAAGTTCCGTTTCCAATAGAAAGTACCTCGGAAAATTGAGCGAAAGTTTCGCAGGGCATTTAGAAAATAAGACTCTTGAACTCTTTGTAAGAGTGCTGCTGAAGTTTCGGTTTCCAATAATCGTGGCGTCAAATTTCTGCGGAAGTTCCCAATTCTGACGCTTAAAGTTCTGCGACAACAAACGAAATCTAGTGACCGCTGCAAAATATTTTTTTTTGTCCTGCGGAATTTCCCGCAAATTGTTTGAAAAGCGAAGATAAAATGAGTAAACAAAATTGAAAAAAATTGGATTGTCTCTTAAAAGAAAATATTACGGAAATATATTGTATCAATGCTCTATTTCGCGAATTGCTGAATTTGTAGATTTTTTTAGCCCCTATTGTTGCTCGATTTCCCCAGTTGACAATGACTTGTGCTCGTTGGTGCCCAAATGGAAATTTTTTTGCTGTGACTGGGCAACAACTCGATATGCCTGTTCAGGAAAGTTTTGTCGTACATGTGGTGACAGCTTATGGAGTGGTATGTTATTTTTTAGATTTTTCCAGAAACAGATACAAATTGTTGTAGAAACTGTCTTCGCTAAAATTGCACACGTCATCACTAACTGGATGCTCTTGGGATCCAACTGGCGTGAAACTCGCTTTGTCGGCAGAGAATTTGATTTGGTTCGCGAATGTTCGACCAAGATACAAAGTGGGCGTGGCACTTAATACCAAAAGATAATTTGCAATTTACTTACCACAACTATTTTTAGTGGGGATATTGTGGTAACACCGTTGTTTACTCTTACGAACGAGTAGAACGAGGTGACTATCGCGTCGTCTTCTATGAAACGAAGCTCGATGAATCGTATTCAAAGCCGGTTAGACAGCTTGAGCAACTTGCTACCAGTAATGATTACTGTGTAATTGCAAGTCATCCGGAAGATTCGATGGGAAAGGTTATTTGCAGCTTTATTGAGCTCTTTCCTACAACCTGACAATAGTACAACTTGAGATTTTGATTAAGCAAATGGTCAACCAGTCTTGAATTGTATTCAATGAACTCAGTAAATCAGCTTGGAAGTGTCTGAAAAACAATAAATTGCTTTTTACTGGGAATATCGAGGTGATGTAATAAATAATGTCAGATTGTTATCATTTCAGTGTCTTCTACAGCTCTGTAACAATATCGGAACCTGCATCGACCTCAAGGTATGCCTTAAGTATTACTCTCCTTGCTCTAAAATAAGAAAAATTTTCTTGTTTGAATGAAAGCGAAAAAATCAACATTGCTCATTTAGTACGATTTGATATCCTGTATC